CTCTGGGAGAAGAAGTGGCTGAGGCTGGTTTCAGCTGGAGTGTGTGGGGGAACATGACACATGAATAACCAGTCTTCTCCTGAGGAACACGCATGGAAGGAGTATAAGGAAGCATTTGGGCTGGGGAGGCGAGTCCTCAACCCACCTGCATTTCAAAACTGCTTTTGCAGCCTAAGGATCTCACAACCTTACCTCTAGCTGGGCTGAATAGGAACACTACCACCTACTACAGAAATGCAGGCAAGATGAGGCAGCTTTGAGAAAGCATATGCCAATCAGCTGACATCCTCCAGGACAGTGGTCAAGGCCGAATTTCTGCTCTACTAGAGACAGGTTCCTAATATGGTCTCAAGCTCATCACAGTCTCTCTGGGCCTTATCTCCCCATCCATGCTATGCAGATATCACTGCCCTGCCTTCCTGTGAAGCGTGATTAATATTGTGGCTTTGTCTACACTGCTATTTAGGGCCACCCTTAAGCCTATACACACTGACAGTCTATACTGAAAACCCCTGAGCACCCCCCACCCCTCAGTAGGTCTGCTAAGAGTCCAAGGCCTGACACCAAGCCTCCTCCTTGCCCATCCCTCCCTGCAGTGCTTTTGAAACTCACCTGGGTACTAGAGGCTGCTTGCTTCTGGCAGATTTCCTGAGCTCTCTCTCAATTCCTTGTTTCTAACTTCCAGCCTCTCTGCACCCTACCGCTTAGGTCTCTACTCCCATAGCTAAAGCCAAGCACGACAAGAGAGATGAGCAGCAGACAGACCAATTGCTAGAAGGGCTCTACTTGAGGAACAGGAAGCACAACATTTAGTACCCCAGGTTAGCATGGGAGGACAAATGGCTTGGACTAGGTAAATGTGGCCCTTGTGGTATACAGATGTTATGTGGATGGGGCCACACAAACAAGGGAGGTAGAGAGAGTCTCTACCTCATTATCCTCAGCTGAAAACCTGTGGGGTGCTCAGCAGGGAAGCAGGGGTATTATCAGGCTGGAATTAGCTTAGGACCCCTGACACCCCAGCTCTTGCAGAAAGTGTCCTGAGAGCTTTCATAACTACCCGGGGGAAGGACCTCCCCTCCAAGGGGGGAACAATTGTTTAATAGATAATTATTTAAAACCATAGAGCAACTGGCTGATGACAGCCTTTGTTTTGGGGAATAAAAGCAGCCATGTGAGACAGCATCATGGGACAGCTCTGCACAGTGTGGGTCCTGCAGGCAAAATTGCCTAGTATTGTCTGACCAGGAGAGGGAAGAATGGAGAGGTGTGAGCCAGGGCTCTGGGGTGTTCTGGAACAACCCACTTAGGATATGCCTCCCATGAGGACTGGGGCTTGAGACCAACACAGTCCCAGCTGTGCCCAGGGTTTGTGGCTTGTGTCCTTCCTGGGGAGTGGAGTAGGAGAGTTGATTTATGGATTTCTCTCTCATAAAAGGGGGTGGGGAAGGGATGGCCTGAACCGCCGATTGTGCCCAGAACGTTCTCGCTTCCCTGTGCTTGTTCTCTGGCATGCAGCTTGTTCTCCTCAGCCATTGCCCTCCATTCTCCACTCTTAAATCAGTCTGGATCTCCTGGCCCAACTGGTTACCATAACAACCCCAAACGTCCAAGCCCTAGCCCTAAAATGTAAACAACCTGAGCTGGAGCTGGGCACCCCGTGTGCAAACTTGCTGAGCAGCCCCAACTGGGGAAGGCAATCGCTACCCTTATTGAGCTGGAGCAAACTCACAAAGGACACTCCTCAGGACGGAAGCAGATGTGACACCAACACAAAGCAGTATCTGTCCAAACACCTGAGGGGCCCAGAGGCTTGTGTCAACACTATGAGACCCAGAGACCCCATTTCTCTCTCAGCTTCCTGCCCTTAGTCAGAACAGCCCAATGCAGGGCCCAGAGTAGCAGCCACCTAACAATTCCTTGACGTGGAAAGAGTTCTTGCCTTTCACCTGCTGACAGGCAAAGGCTCTGCCCAGGGGAGGAATGATTGTCCAGGGGTGAGAGTGCTGGCCTGGCTTCAAGTTCTTGCTCTGCCATGCATGGCCTATGAAGCTAAGTGACTTGGCAAAGGTCCTGAAGGAAGCCAGTCTTGCTCTGTGATTCAGTTCCTTCCCTCCTCCCCACCATACAAGGGAGAACAACAGCCCTGCCTTGCCTCCTGGGGGAGACTCAGACACCCGGGTAACAGGGGCTATGTCTACCATTGAGACAGAGTTTGCTTTCTAATGGCACCTTCTCAAGCTGGCAAGACCCTGGTGGCACCACTATGGAAGAGCTTAGTTGAAAGTTGTGCTGGCATCCACTTTGAAGTAAATAATCACTGCCACAGCCTGAAAAAGTAGGTGCAGGGTGCATGAGCAAAGTGAAAGGAGAAAGGCCGGACATTTCAGAGCAAAGGGCACAGGCACCTCCTCCCAGTCAGAGCCACAGCAGGAAGAATCATTTGCCCCTGGATGATGACAGCTCATATTTTCTCCTTTGCAGCTGTATTTCAGATGCCTGGGGCCAGGCTGACTCGCCAGCTGCAGCATGGAAGCAGTGGCGGAGGCTACACTGAAACAAACTTCCTACAAAGCTCAGCACCAGAACACTTAAGAGCACGGCTTGCAGTGATTACTGCTGTCAGTACATGCTGGGAGTGTTGGACCAAGACAGAAACTTTCCAGGACATAGACAGGCAGGGGCAGAGGAGCAGGAGTGAAGCAGGGGGTTGCTCAGGGGAAGACTCTAATGGTTCTACTTAAAAGGTGAATCTGATCCCTGAGCCATAAGGAAATG